CTACCTGTAATAACACTCAACGGTATTCACTTTGAGTTTTTAAATATAAATTTTTATTAAATTTCTTTGATTTTGTTCGAATTCTTGCTTGATTTTTTTTTTAAAATTAACGATTTTAATTGGCTGATTTGCATGTGACAATCACTCAACATTCGTGTAACCATTGTCCATATTTGGGACGTTCTCCCCTGTTCCCAAAGGACCGATTAACATCCCTATTGTCAAGCAAGTTTGAACAACATCAATCCGGTTAGCCGAAATTTGGTTTTGATAAAACTTATACGAGTTGTTTACCATATACAGTAACCGAAAAAAAAATACAAATAAGCATAAACATTGGATTTACTATAGCATTCCTTTTTGTACGCGACTAGAAACGCTTTCTTTAACCATTCTTTTGGAAATGGAGCCTGGACAACCGATTGCATTGCTTCACCATAATGAGTTCTTGTTTGTTGAGGAAAATACTAACCTTTTAGAAGAAGGCTCGAGAAACTTTTCTTCTTTCAAGGTTTTTAATTTAAAGGTTCGTGCGTTATTAAAATTGATCATGTAAAATTTTGATCTAATTATGTTTTTTTGCGACAATTTTCTTGTTATTTTATAGGAACCTATCGACAGCATTACCTTGTCAGCGTTAATAGTTCCACAAACGTTTAAACAATTTTACTCATTTGAAGTCTCAGAATATAATGGCTCCTCGGCAAAGGCGTGTTATCATTAATTAATTATTCTTTTTCTTTAAATGATTAGCTAATACAGTATTCATTTTCAAAATATAGGTGAAAATTCACTTTTTAAACAAGACACATTTAGATGTGGTCAACTTGTTGCACAATGCCATAACAAATCTACATTATATGTCGGAAAACGGTCTTATGGATTGGGTACCAACTGATTCGATTACGTTCAATATTATTTATCCAAATGCTTATTCCACATTGAACCAAAACGAAGATGATGATGTATCAACAGTAGTTGAAGATACGGGTTTTTTAGATCTCGGTGATGTTGAATGGCTTACTCGAAAATTACACGAAATGGCATTGCTATTTCAATCAAAAAATGACATACGTATGTTTTTAATACATCAATAATATTTATTTACATTAATTCTTTCTGACCTTTTTTTTTTTTTTAAACAAAAGCTTCTGATGTGTTGGAAGGTCTTTTTCATTCTATTTTTCCAAGACGCGTTACATCTTTGAGCGTTATTGAAGGAGTTGGTATTTTGATATCCGCTATGGATCAAAGACTCAGATTCAATATCATAAGAACCGTTTTTCAAAAATTAGCCGAATTAATTAATGATAACAATTTAAGGGCTATAGTGATGGAAAATCGATTTGTAAGTCAGTCTGATTTAACTGAGATCTATAGAAAGAGTAGGTCATGTCAATTAACTTTTAATTTTGCATTATGTAGTCGCCCGACTTAGGTTTACACTTGATTCTCAGCTTGTGGACCTTAATAGAAGGTTTTAGGGATATTTGTAAATCACTCAATACTTTAAAGAATTCAGATGAACAATTTAAAAGAATAATTTCAGCAGAGAAATCTTATTTTACAACTTATATTGATCATATTTATTTAATTATTGAGAATATATTGACTATCCTCGCCAGAGAACAGTATGACCTACTATCTGGTAAGTTAAAATCTTCATAAACTTGCATTTATTTATTTAATATATTTATATGATATGTAATATTTTGGCATGTTTGTAATATATCTAGCTCGCCTAGAGATTCTAGTAAAAGCAATTGAAGATTTGATGAAACTCACAGAAATAATATCGGTTAAATGCAATGATCATCTTAAAGAAATTGAAACCGAAGAAAAAAATGCAAAAGTTAGGGCATTGGTACATTTAGGGTAAGCTAATTATTTAATTATTTATTAAATTATTATTATAATTATTTTGAAAATATTCTTATAAATGTTAACACTTTTGACATTAAGGGTTGCTGCTTTTGAAGTTTATTATGGTGTCTCAAAATACAAATCTCATGGTACAGTACAGGTATGTGTCAATACTCACTGAGTGTCATAAATAATTTTCTAACGATGTCTATCTACAACACAGAGGGTTTGCGAAGCAGCTTTGTTTGTTACAAATGGTTTCGCCTTCGGGTTCGCGCTGGCCGCTAGACAAGACTTAAGCAGAACTATAGAACAACAAAATAATGCACTCAAACGGTTACATGAATTTCACCTGACGCTTACCAAAATGACTCAGAAGGGAAGAGTAGTCCTAGATCTAAGTGGAGAAGAAATGTTGGATCAACGAAATACAATTATTGAAGAATTTACCGAATTTCGGATTCAATGTGAAAGTTTCAAGGATGTGTTGGATGATATTGAAGAATGAAATGAGCTACACGTTTTCGGACACTAAGACAATGCCTTGCATATTTACTCCCTTCCTCAAAGGACAAAAATTATGAATTTATATAACCTGAATTTTTTTTAAATAATGTTAACATTACTATTATCACACGTGTGATCGAAAAAAAAACACAAAGATGATTCCTCAGTATAATTTATTTCTTTCAATTAAAATTTCAGAAGTCTAACATGTAAAAGTTGACATCATCATCGGAATCGTAAATTCTAAAACAAGGTCTATGCATACATGAATTAGAGAGAATCCTGTATCCAGTTTTTAAGGTCATTTAATATGGGTATCAATTGAATGTCTGGTAACGTTAATTCTGAAATTGATTGAGATACAGAGATAGGATCGTATTTAATGCCTAGTGTTAAGATAATTATATAATAATTATATTAATAACAATTTGTGAAGATCCATTTTCTTTGAACTGCTTACCTTCTAACGAATCTTCCAAAGCACCAATTAAATTTTCATATTTTATTGTTGATGGAGATAAAGTTATCGCTGATATGAGACCATTTTTTGACTTTATAAAAGCTTTCTTTTTAATGAATTATAACAATTAATAATAATAATAATAATAAGTGTACAACAATAAAAAAATAATACGGTAGATAATTAAACTTACTACATGACCCCAAGAAAAAGTTTTTTCAAATTCGATAGAGAAATCGGGAGTTTGACCAAATGTCCAATTCCAAGACTAATGTATAAATTGAGATTTATGAAATATCTTAATAAAATTTTGTATTACTGTAATTAATTACCTTTAATTCATCATGATACTCTAACGTTTTAGGAATTTTTGACAATAATTCTTCATTAACAATTATCGGCTAATTTAAGCAAATCAAAAAAAAAAAAGCATAAATAAATAGGAAAAATAAATAAGATAAATGAATAAGACAATAAATAAGAATAATAAATAAATAAAATAAAATAAATAAATAAATAAAAGAAATTAAATTACAATAAATATTACCTGAATATAACTATTAGTTGCATCACGATAGTGGACAGAAAATTCTTGTAATACCGCATTACAAAACGATTCATGATTTACAGTTAAAGAATAATTTCGAAGTTTTGTTACAGGGGATAAAACTGATTCAACACCTTTTGAAACCAAATTCTATGATAATCAACATATTGATCGACAACGAAAATAAAATAAATGAAATGATTGACAAAGAATTACAAAGCAGAAATGTTGATAAAATAGATAAATACTTTTTTTATTTCAAGATAACGACCAATTTGACTTAAATCAGTATCAATTAACATAGTACCATGATGATATGCTCGAGCAGATATTATTTTAAACGCAGATCCCGAGACGTATTAGACAGAAATAAGATTATTAGTATGATTAAAAATATGATTAAAAATAAGATTAAGGTTAAAAATAATATTAGGATTAAAAAAGTAATATTAAAATAATATTGAGAAATAACTATATAATTTTACATAAGTAATATTTTAGTAAGAAAATGGATATTTTAAGGCCTTCAATTTCTATATCATGTCTCTCATTAACATATGCAGATATGCCAAGTCTTTTTCTGATAGCACGCGCTACCAAATCAGCAGAATGTTTACGAGTAAAATTTTGACGAGGAGTTATCACAGAGTAGTTTGTATTTCCCAGATCCTTTAGTTTTTTTTATAGCATTGTTAATGAGGGTGAGAATGACAAAAATGGTCAAAAATTGAGGCTTACATGAAAGACGGTACCACCACCGCTTTTTCTTCGTATGATGGGGATGCCAACATTCCGTAAAAGGCGAACATTACATTCTCTCCACGGGTTCTACAACGATTAAATCAATTATCGTTGTTATACAACCATTATATGATTTAAAGCTACCTGATTTCTCCCAATTACTGCACAGCCAGTGTTTCTCCATAAATAGAGTAAGACAGTCGAGGGATCAGTATGCCTAAATAACCTTTACGTGTATGTGAATGGTCACGTGATTAATTTTGCTGTTAATCGAAATGAATGAAGCTAACAGAGTTACCAAAGCTTTAAAGATAGATTGAAATCGTACCATTCTTCAACAGCAAGGTTCGTCCACGGATCCGTTAGATTTGATATATAGCATTGAAAATTCTTTTGGATTTTGTATTACGGAGACATGGTATAAAATATAATACAAGGGATATTAATATTACACTTGACAATCAATTTCGTGCACCTATCAAAAATGACTAACTACCTATATTATTTGAATCAGTGTCTATCGTTATGGGGTTTCGAGAACAAAAATTTGATATAATATAGATATTTTTTAAGATAAAGTTGACTTTGATCAAGAGTTGTAGCGAATTATAATATAATATTGTGTATCTATTCAAGAATACAATCACATAAATAATCAAAAAGTCTCGAAGCCTATATAACAGTAGACACTGACCCATTTTGGGTAAGTTTATTGATAGGATGCACGATTTGATTGTTTAAATGTGTATGTATGTCCATGTTTCGAACCACATCCTGAGAAAAATCACGAGACAATCGGCGAGAATGATTGAAAAGAATTCGTGACGAAAGCAGTAACATATAAAGGAAGATATAAAGTCACCTAATTTTTGATCATAAAAGATGATAAAATTGTATCAATAATTAATGATAATAGACCGAAAAAAAAAAAAATTGTCACGTTTGTTTCAACCGTTTCACCGTGACAATATTTTTTTTGCAGTAAAGTGATATATGTAACTCCTCTGGGTAATGTTGCACAAACAACCGTCTTTTACAGACGCCTATATAGTATTTGGCAACGACCAATGAAGAGAATCTCTTTTCAGATTCAGTTTTGGCCACTTTTTGACTCTTGGAATGTAAGATTACTAAAGATTCTTCAGAGCTTCGACAGGGCCGTATGTCACTTCAAATAAACAAGATAAATAGGCAGTTATTAAGAAGCAACTTACTCAAAGATATTTTATCTTGTGGACGTTTATTGAACATGCATTTCTTAGTGTGTATATTTTGATAGTATAAGGTTAATAAATGTTCATTTCATTAGCTAGAGAAATACATTTTAAAAAAAATAATCACGTGATATAAATTTTAAAGTCACAATGGGAAATAAGGACTTTTTGTTTGTAGCTATATCTGAAAGATCTCTTTCTACGTAACCATTTAAAAAGAAGGGATACAAAAATAAAATTTTTAGTATAAGAATAAAAAAGGAGAAAACTAAATAGGAAATAAATAAGAAATAAATAAGAAATACACACATAAATGTACCATGAGAGTATCCGAACAACATAGGAATAATACGGACCGAGATCTTCAATGGAGTACAGATATTACGCCCATTCCAGCTGACATAGTTCATGCAACTAACCCCAAATCAATTAAAATCTGTTTCACGACATTTTCTCATCAGATGCCAACATAAGGACGCCAAAAGCATTTACATATGATAAAGTGATTTAATATTTTTTTTAAAAAAAAGATGTTCTGTGTGAAATTTCCTTTGTTCTCTTTTTTAATCAAGTTTGTACAATAGAGACTTCCAAATACATATAAATTGATTCTTGAAACGAAAAGTTCAGCTAGTTTTTGATTGAGTTTCACATATACACCTTTGTTTGTCGTTCAAATTCCGAATTAGTGAATTAAATGACCGAAAAGGGACGGGGAAGTAGCACCGGAGTTAAGAAACGAAAAGTAGAAAAAGTATCACTAAACACAGAATAACAGAACTAACACAGAACCGCAAAATACCAACACATAACACGAGTTTTCTATGATTAAACACCTCGTTCCTGGAATGCCAAAGACGCGCGGAAAAATAAATAAGGCGATTATCATGATCACATCTTCTAAAACAAATTTTAAATAATGAAAGAAATATGGAACAGTCAATGAATTATTAGTTTACGAATAATGAATAGTTTATCGAGAATTTATGAATAGTTTATAAATAGTTTTTCATGAATAGTTATGAATGGTCTATTAATAGTTTAATAATATATAGTTTATTATTACTATATTATTATATTTATATTTATATATTTAATATATATATATAATATATAATATTATTATATTTATATATTTAATAATAATAATATAATAATAATATAATAATAATAATAATATTATTATTATTACATAGTTTATAGTTTATAGTTTATGAATTAGTTTAGAACATTTTTAAGAATAGTTTAGAAATAGATTAGGAATGGCCTAAAAGAGATTTAACAAGTATATTACAAGAATGTTGGAATATTGACGTCAAATTATTAAAAATTGAGTCTCGGTTTCAAAGTGAAGAGCTTCCGAGGAGGAAAAACACTTTGTGTTTCGTGCTTATCAAGCTGAAATGGATGAGTCATGATAATTTGTACAACGTTTTACTGAAGATATACACAGAGATAACGCAACTTCAATGAGAAAGGTCAATGACATATATAGAGTAACATATAGAGTAACATATAGAGGGACGGTGGCGGAGTGTTAAAAATTTCCCAAAGAAGTTTGACTGTTCTAAAAACGGTTGTTTGTTTCTATTCAGGAAAATTACTGGAAATTTTCTCTTGGAGTGTATGAAATTCCATCGTATACCGACAAACAGGTTTATGTATACCGATTAAACAAGCCTTTTTACTTTTTCTGTATTGTGTAATATCAATGAGGTCGATTGTATTGTTTTGTGCGGTTCCCGACTTTTCTGGTTTAACATTATGTGAAATTAGACTAATATAAAATAAAATATGTTTAAATATATGTGAATAATGTGAATTATTTTTTTGACAGACCCTTTTGACTAGAATTGGGATGTTATAAAAAAACCCAGAATCCATTTACGTCCAATTTGTTGTCTTCCTGCCCCTTTTGTTCAAGCCAACTGTTTGGCACTTTATCAAAAACAAAATAAAATATTTCATCCCTTTCTTCTACTAAATTTCCTCGCTTTTTTCCTTAAAGCTTGTGACTCGGGAAAATCTCTATTTTCTACTAAAAAAAGTTATTCAAGAATGTGAGTTCATCCTAAATGGTTTTTTTTTTTCGCATGCTAGTTTTTTTTTTTTTCTTTTTTTTTTTCTTTTCCTTTTTCTTTTTTTTTCTCTTTTTTATTTTAGTTTAGTTTGCTTGGTTTTCTCGGTTTAGTATCATATTTCGTGTACTATTTTCTTGCTCAAAGAATTGCAGAGATTCATTAAAGATTCTCTAAGATGCTCTAAAATGCTTTGAATGTTCTAAAATGCTCTAAGAGAATCTTTCTGATGTATCGACGCGCTCACTCATCCAATCGCTCGATGAATTTCCTTTTTCATCTAACAATCTGTAATTTATTTCTTATTTCTCTTTTTGCGAATTTTTTGCCCTTTTTTTTTACTTCTCGAATTTTCATTTGTCTATGTTCGGCGTGTCAAATTTCCGTAATCATCCGTTCGTCTTACACTCATCTTGTTCATCATCTTGTTCATTACCGAACTAATCTCCCCGCGCATACATCCATTTTTTTCACTCTCTTTATTATTTTTCTTTTCTTCCTACCTTTTGATTTATTTTGAATTGATTGGAATTAGTCCTTCCTAGATTTTATGGTTTGTGGCGCAGTTCTGACGCATTTTAGTCATTCGGTTATTGGTTCTTTCTCCTCCCCATTTTTTTTTGTGTGTTACATTCTCCGTGTCACTCGGATCTTTATTATTCACATGTACACGTGATATGATGCAATAATATTTTCAAAACATTTACAAGGGGGCGAATCTTTTCGGTCAGCTCATTTTCTTTTTTTTCCTCCTCACTTCCTTTTACGCATACAGACTACGCAAAAAGGTTACTCACTACCCGGTTAGCTACCTGTCAAATTTTCTGCAACCTCCAAAAAAAGTCCTTTCCACTTACCACTTTTGAATGCACGCCACAGACATGAGCGGCCTTGCAAGTCCAAATAACCAGCGAAAACAAAGTAACGCTTCGGGTCACAGCGTTGACTTGGCCGAACCGTCAACTTTAAAAGGTTCTAGTAAACGTGAATATGACGAAGATGACGATATCGAATCTAACGAAGAAGAACCTGCTAAAAGTGAAAAACGTGCTGGTCGTCGTAAAATAAAAATTGAATATATCGATGACAAAAGTAGACGTCATATTACTTTCAGTAAACGAAAAGCTGGAATAATGAAAAAGGTGATTCTTGATTTTTATTCTCTCGATATATATATATATATGTATATATACATAATATATGTATATTTATCTTTATTCATTTTTTTGTAATTTAAATCTGTATAAAATGCATAATGTCATCCTTGCCATTTTTGTCGTCGTGTTTAAATTAAAATTTCCTCTTTTGATTAACGAACTAAAAGTGGTGTACAAACAAAGACAATCAATCAACATTATTTCTTCAAAGTTCTACTTCTATTCTATCCCTTTACGCTTTATTCTTTCGTTAATATTTCTTTATTATTCATTATTTTATCTCTTAGGCATATGAATTAAGTACTCTTACTGGGACCCAGGTTCTACTTTTGGTTGTGTCAGAAACTGGTTTGGTCTACACTTTTACTACTCCAAAACTTCAACCCCTCGTTACCAAGCCCGAAGGAAAGAATTTGATCCAGGCTTGTTTGAACGCTCCTGACGCTCCATCCGGTCAAGATCCTCCTAATACGGTATATATTAAACATAATTTTTCTCCTAATCATATTCGTGCAATGCAGCCTTTTTCTTAAATCTGGCTTAGTCATTCATATGTATCATGTTTATTAAATAAAGTCTTTTCGCTTATAAAATTATTTCTATCTTGCTTTATTTTTATTTTTTTTATTTTATGCTTTGGCATACTCCTTGCTTCTCCTCCTCTTTTAAATCTCGTAGGCTCGTTCGGTACAAAACCCTCCTGTCTACGGAAATGACGGTTCTGCTCCCGTAGATGCAAATGGTAATGATGTCTACAGTGATGATAGAAAGGTATAATTACATAATCATGATTACTAATTAATAATAATAATAACTATTATTATTATTATTATTTTATTATTATTATTATTATTGTTATTATTATTATTATTATTATTATTATATTGTCATTAATTATTATTATTATATCTCTTAATATTTTTTTGCTCCTTTCGTTAAATCTTATCAAGCCACAAACTTCAGGTGGTCAGTTGTCACAGACTCAGCCCTCCTATGCTCTTGGCTTAAGCCCCTACAATCAGTATGGTGGAATTCCAAACATGACTTTAGGAACAAGTGGTATTGCTTCACAATATATGTCATCTGCTGGATATCCACAATATGGTCAGCAGCACTTAAATCAATACGCACCAAATAATTACATGCAACAATATTGGGGTCCCGGCGGAAATAAAGTCCCTCAATATTCGAACCAATCGCCTGAAAAGAAATAAAAGTAATTATTTGATATTTTAATGATTTTTGTTTGGCCTATTTTTATTCTTATTGTACAGATTTCGATGGCTGAACTTTCATTTATATATTTTTATATATAATTTTTTTTTTTTTCACTTTTTTTTTTTTTGAAAAAGCATTGGTCAATTCATCTCGTTTGATATGGGAATGAATAATTGTTTATATTTTAAAAGAATTTTTACAACTTATGAAATATATAGTTTTGATTTGTTCTTTATTATAAAGAAAAAAAAAAAGAAAAACTTCGTTCATGTATCATTTTATTTTTTTCATTTTCCATTCGATTGATTGCTCTCATACCACTTTAAAAAAAAAAAAAAAAGAAAGCATTCTTCGATTGGTTGTTAATATATATATATATATATTTTTTTATTCTCCACATACAACAAACACCCTTTGCAATATACATATTACCATCCCGCTTTCTTTTTCTTGTAACCAATTTTTTTCTTTCTTTAAAAAAAAAAATTTTCAATAGTAGTAGTATCAGCAACTTTTTTTCCTCAAAAAATAGTTCTTGTTGACTCAAGAGCTAAAGATTATTTCCTTTTTCAGATATTGGTTTATATATATATATAGGTATTAAGTAGTTAACTTTTTTGATTTGAAAAAAAAAAAGGCTGATGTAAATCGATAAATATATATATTTTTTATAAATAAATAAAAACATACAAATTAAAGTTTTCACGATTTTAATACTATGAACAAGTTTATTAAATATTTAGTAAATCGTTATGAAAATAGTTGCGTGTAAAAATCGATATCATTCAAATTGTCAATTGTCATTAACAAAGTTCAATCATCCTATTCAAGCATGGTAGGATGTACTGTACCAATACGTACATAAGTAATTGTCATCAATTTGTAGCCAATATATTACAACATAATATTGCATCTTTATTTATAAAATAACTTGTCGTAAGTTAACATCAATTAAATTTGTTCATTTTAAAAGGTAGAACAAAAAAAAATATTATTTATTTTAAACTAAATTTAGCCTTTTCTTTTTTAAAACAATATATTTCAGTATACGTACGTATAAAAGAACATAAATTTCTTATATCATATATAATTGATTCTAGATAGTACGTATATATATACATATGCGCCTATAGAAGGTAGTGGATCAACACTCTAATACATAAAAGAACCTACTTCTACAATATATATAATATATATATACTATATGACCCTACTTCTTCACAAAAAATTTTTAACGTGAATGTTACATTGTTAAAAAAAATTTTTTTATAAAAATATTATTACATGTACATCGAATATTTTAAACAATTTTTTTCATTTTGATTCTCTACGCAAAAAAAAAAAGTTAAAAATCCTTTCAATTAAATAAGGACCCAAATTTTCATTCAAATAATAAAATGACAGAGACATATAATATATATAAATAATAATAATAATAATAATAATAATAATAAATAATTTATTTTTTTTTTTTCTCTCTGTCGTCTATTGTCCGAAATATTCTACGGGTCTTTTCTTAATTCACAAGTACGACCATTCCTTCCATTTCAGAATTGTTTAAACATTCGTTAATAATGGCATCCTCCTCTTCAAACATACTAACGCTACTAACGCGTGCCATGCTCATTCTTCTGCGGTATTTAAGACATTGCTTATACATTCCCCATACTGGTGAATTTGCAAATAATCCTTTACGTAAATGTGAAATGTAGGTATAAAAATCACAAACGGCAACAACACGATCTCGACAGAATCTATCAAGTGGAATCCATCCCGGGCTTCCTGTTACAGAAAATCGTGATGATGGGGTCATAGTTGTCATTGGTGGCACTGCAGCATCAGGTCCAGAAATTCGCATGCGGAAATCACAACTTCTATGTTGACCACAAAGGCCACATTTAAGTTTTGGTGCTGGTGGTGGTTCATTATAATTGGTGGACCGTGTGTTCGATGTTGAACTACTGATTTGGCTGGTCTCAGATATACTTGGAACAGAGTTTGAAGAATTATAATGTATTTTTTGAATTTCGCATTGATTTTTAATAATAGCATCTAATAAACGTCTCTTATAAAATGGTGATTTCCATCCTGCGTGTCCTTCGAATAAGCACGGTTGGATATCTTCACTCATGCAACGCTTTATAAATGGATGTGTAGGATTAGAATTTACAGGAGTTGGAGAGTTTGTAAGCGACTTCACATATTCTTGGAATTCTTCAAAAACTATACTATCAATGTAAATATTTCTGCCCTTAGAAAACGTTATTTCATCCGAGAATTGGCCTAAAAATATATTAGGAGACATGTGACCAAATATCCTGCTTGCTCTTGGACTATTTGCTGGAGAATTGGCTAGTAAACTTCGACGGACAATAGAATTTCTGTTTAGTGGAGCTCCATTTTGTGTCGGTACACTCTGCCTTTGTTTGGCAGAATCTAAATGGACCAATAATAATTTCATTTCTCTTAATCGATCCTGCCTACTTTCGGATGATTTCAATGAATTATCCATTTTGCCTTTAGTCTCCCTGTTTAAGCATTCTAACTCTTCACGTGTAGCGGCCTCATCAAACACCATCTGATTAACTTTCTCAAACATGGCGTTTATCCATTCATCTATTTCCCGTTCTAAACTTTCTTTATTATTCTGAATTTGAGACCGAAGAGATTGTTCTTCCGCAAGAGATAATGCTAACGCAGAAAGATCACGTTTAAGATAAGCGCGTTCCTCAACATGTTGATCAACTTGAGAGAGCAATGTATTGCAATTGGGACAGATGCTGTTATTTTGCAGAACGTTAGGGACTGGACCAGGAGATGGTAAACTGTCATGGACAAGACGATGTTCATCATCACCATCGTCAGAATAATCATCATCTGTGCTTTCATCTTCCTGCTCATCTTCGGTTTCTTCAGAATTCTTATGAAAATTATTCTTTTTATGCTCATTAAACTTGATTAAATATTCTTGACGTCGCGCAAGCTCTTCTTCGAATGCACTGTCAACTGACCCTCTTGGAGTAGATAAATATTGTGCAGTTAAATTGTTATGGTTATCGTTATCATTATCGTTATCGTTATCACTATCATTATCGTTATCACTTTCATTATTGTTATCATCATTTTCATTTTCATCATCAGACATAGGAATATCAAAATCTGCAATGTCCTCTGAACCATCTAAATCATATTCATCAAGATTAGGCATATCGTCCAGCGAAATTTGACTACTACTAAAAGATTCCCTCCTAGAATTATCATGATGGACTGTAAGTTTATTTATATCATTTTCTACATCGTCATTTACAACGTGATTAGGTATAACATTATTAGGTAGAGGGTTATGTTGCGGAGCAATAATTTCAATCCTGTGATCAGATTCATAGTCATCGTCATCGTCATTAGATGGTTGAAGTTTTGAATCACGCCGTACTTGTGGTAACGATTTCTTTGGATTTTTTGGTGCTTGTTGATTATTTTGGGTACATTTTAAATAATTTAAACATAATTTAATACTATCTAGGAATTGTCCCTCCAAATCATTTGATTCTACTGCTGTAGCATTATCGTCATCGTCTCTGCTAATTTCTTCTTCTTCTTCAAGGCTTTGTGCTTTAAGCATTTCTACAGTTCTTGCTAGAACAATTATGGCCTCCCGAGCTCCAAACTCAAGACGACTAGCTTTGGTTTTTAAATTATGAATATATTCATCTTTCTCACCAATTTCTTGAAGTAATTGATCTCGTTCATGTTCATGAGCTTCATTTATGGTCTGATTTTATTATATAAAAAAAATTATTTTAAAATCAAATTTCTATGAATTGTAATTTCAATTTTCAATTGCATGTTTTTATGCAATATAAAATAAGGTATTTTATTTTTTTACACACCTCAAGGTCATTTTCCAATTCAAATACTCGACTTTCGAGTTTACTAATAAGATCCTGAGCTTGGAGCATCAAAGGTAGAAAACTTGCTGCATCCGTTGGTAAACCTTCCTGCTCATTTACTCCAAATGATTCATTTAGCATCTCGGTTCCGGGCATATTATAAAATTATATAAATGTCGATAATTTCTGAAGGCTTAAAACAAGCTCGTTCTATCTCAATCTATTAATATTAAGGCTTCACTATATACAAATATTAGACCAAATTAAACACTTATAAAAATTTCATTAAGAAAATATAAATGTATGATAAGGTCGTGATAGATAGAAACGGATGCGAAAGTGAAGCAAAGCGCACTGTAGAAATAAAATAAAATGTTACAGGCCTGTAAAAGTCAAACTATTGGACTATTAGACTATTGGACTATTGGACTATTGAACATAATAAAAAAAAAAAAAAAAAAGGAAAAAATAGGAATATATAAGGGAAGAAAAGTGATTTTCCAGTAATCGATTTTTACAATAGATTTTTTACAATAGATTTTATATTGTATATCGGTATTTTATTTTTTATGTATAAAGACTCGTTTCCTTTCAAATAGCCTTATTCTCGCAACGAGTATAAAAGCAGTGACTACGATAGACAGCAAAAATAACGGCTATGCAAGGACACAAAACAAGTAATTACTTTACTTCGAGCACAGTAATCGTTATCGTTATGGATTGATAAATACAAGGGGTCTATGATTTATCGTTGTCTCATCCTCATCACACATTGTGTAACCGTTTTTCCATATGCAAACATAATAACTAAACGAATATAACTAGTCTACCAAACACCTATTTAATTAACTTTAGCAACGATATATTCTTGTAAAGCATTGTCTTCAACAGTTGGTAAGTTAATTGATCAATTTGTCGTTTATTCTATTTCTATGCAAAATGATACCAAATTCCACCAATTTTACTGTTGGGGACGGTTTGGGCTGAAATTTACTTTTATGTATCATGTTGGACGAAAATCTTGAAACACAAAAAAAAAAAAAAAAAAAGCAAAAATCATGCTTTGGATACAATGAAAAATCCGATGCATTCATACACAAGACCAACCCCAACAATCTTGTCCAATAATGAAAAAAAACAAAAAGTAAACAAAAAGGAAATAACAGAATATAGCATATAAAACTTTAAAAATTATTACCCCATCAATTAATTGTCTGTCAAAGTGTTATTCTTGCCCTTTTTTTATTATTGAATCAGTATTACCATGACATTCCGCATTATTCTTCTTGGCAGGACGGAAGTTTGCCTTCATAAGTTCCCTTACCCGAGAAATAAAGTTCTCGGCAGTAGAAGAAGCAACCGATATATGTGAAGATAATGATTCTAGCATTTTATCAAGGCGTGAAACATCATCCTCGTTTCTAAAGGATTCGGTCATGTCAACTCGCCTTAATTTTTGACAATAATAATTGTTAGTCAAAAAAATTATGCATTGTAACAATAGCATTACCATAACCATTGTTGTGCTATATATATATTTATTATGAAGGAATAAATGCTTTAATGTCAAAATTGATATACTTACTGATCATAACTTTGATATTCCTCGATCAACTCAGATAATTGTGTAAACATTTCCTCGGGTAAACTTGCACTTGGTGATACCGAATGTTGGCATGAATAAGGTGTTCCTGATGTAATAAAGAATAAATAGCCACTTAAAATTGCAGGAATGTAGAAGTAATATCCAATAAAATTTTGGCGCTTACTAAATTGCCCCGAAAGGTCATAGTTTGTTCCGCTCACCCAGAACTGAAATCTGGACACATTAGATTCGTGTCCAGCGTCATACGGCGTTACAATAACGCCAATAAAGGGTTCCACACCGTCTTCACGTCGCCACATTTCCTGTATTAAACATGTAAATTATTATGAATTATGGCTTTTTGTAATAAATAATGAACTTAATAGCTCATTAATGATACCTGATACTGAGTCTGGTTTTCAATATCACGGACAGAAGGTTGAGGTTCAAATGTTGGATGTGAATGATACCACCCAACGAATTGAAGGCCCTTTTCGGCAAAAACTTCTCTCGCAGCAACTTCAGATGCTGGATCCATTTCACACTAAACAAATCGCAAATGTAAGATTACAACATTTTCAAATTTTATTTATTTTATAGTATGATACACTAATGCGTAAACACCTGAAATCCAGTGCTAGCACTTCTGCATGGAAATACGTATGTCACTTCCATACTTTCACTATCTGGATGAAAATGGCCACCGAGTAAACCGATGATTTCCGTATGAGCCAAATGAGCATGAAAATCCATTACGAGCTATTATTCATGTATGTAATATTAATGCTTATATAAAATTGTAATTATAATATTTATTTATCAGGTATACCATGACATTTGCTGTAACCGATACACGGAATGGCGCTGGATTTCTTGACGTATAATTAAGTGGTGGTACCAATCTGAAAGGATCATAGGAACCGACCATGTCATATGCTAGAACATCGTAATATTATACATTAAGGAAAATATTATCACAATTCCGAACAACTTATCCCTAAAATAGCAAAGGATATTTCATTATAATTAATTCGACCTCCTTTCGTACTGGTACGAGTTCGCTTGCTTCGACGTATTTGATTGTCGCCTAGAAAATTATGAATATTTTAATATCACTTAAAGTTCGAGACGGCCAAGAAGTTGTTGTAAGGGATTGTACCTGGAGTTCCTTCCTCTCCATCATCATCATATTCATTTGGACTTGCTCTTTTAAAAAAGTGTTCAAAATCTTGTCAAAAACTATTAAAGCTAATATGGTGCTGATAGTCTATACTCAACAGTTACACGAAGTGTTTCAATTTTTTAAATAGCTATAACTTTTTACTTAAAAGGTTTTAAAAAAATCTGACCGGTAACTTTATAAAGCTATATCAGCTCTACATATGTGCCAAATATCTTTTCAAAATCTTATCACTGTAAAGAGTTGATGCATTTTGAAAATTGAAATTTTATATATAAATTTACATATAAAATTTCAATTTTCAAAATGCATCAACTCTTTATAATGATGAGATTTTGAAAAGATATTTGGCACATATGTAGAGCTGATATAGCTTTATAAAGTTACCGGTTAGATTTTTTTAAAACCTTTTAAGTAAAAAGTTATAGCTATTTAAAAAATTGAAACACTTCGTGTAACTGTTGAGTATAGACTATTAGCACCATAGCAAAACTTCAATTTCATTCATACCTTTCTTCATTACGGCTTTTTTTACCGCGTCTTCATTGAACAGATAGATTAGATTAAATTATATACGTCAGTATCAGCAAAATAAATTCAATGAAAAATTATAATTAACCCATTAAGTGTCCAATTCTCATCCATCAACACAGCCTTCCCTTTTCTTTTTTTAATTACGTTAGTACTTTTGGCCGCATCATAAAGTACTTTTGGCTTGAAAGTTCGTTGCTTTCTCTTTACTAAGTCATCACCGACATTGATGGCACCTATCAATTCTAGATATGAATGAACACGGCCGATGGCATTCACATCTCCGCAGTCCTATACAACAAAAGATGTAGCTTTAGATATCAAACATATACGCAAATCAAATATTATGATGCATAAGAGTGCATATGCACCTTGAGTCCTGATCTAACACTTGTCTTGGACACGTATTTTGGTTTATTGCTATTCCATGCATTAAGAATGAAATTTCTAATTTTCATGTATCTCTCGGGTGTTTTAGAACCCCTGCCACAAAAAAATTCCGAATTTTTTTTTCTTTCGGATTCAGTAATGGTTGCCTGGTCAATTACCTATCAATGATAAATTAGCATCGGCAGAGATAGCCATCCAATGTCTAAAAGAATTAATTTAAAACGAAGTAATTAAAGTCTACAAGCATACTGTCACCCCAATTGGGCTTTCATCACCCGAATCCGTGTCGTTACTAGCCCCTGAGTCTTCCAATTGGTCGATAGAATCAGTGACCACTGCAGGAGGTGAAGTGGTCGCGTCTTTTTCTTCATTAAAGTCTAAATGATACGCGTCGCGAGGCGGTGATATATCTCCGACAGCGTTCTCAGAAATATGCGAATTCATTTTTAAGACGAATTCGTTAGCAGAAAAGATAAAAGCGCCTAGATTGAGTCTCCGAAGTATAACCTTCACAGCATATAAGATTAAGATAAGATGCAATAAAGTTAAAACCGGTGTAAGACCTGTGAGAAAATTCCTGCGGGGTAAAATAGGCCAAAGACAGTATTTATTTAGATGCCATCAATATCACCATGATCATCGGTCACATCAATTATCACAAATTTGATTATCATTATATTGTGCTATTACATGATTACATGATGATAATGATTACCTTTGTAATTACTTTTTTTCCCAATTATTCAAGTTCCGTACACCTTTGTCTCCAGTAACATAGAGGAATATAGAAATATCTTATCCTCACTAATTAACTGAGCTCTCTTCATTAGGGTATATGGAGTTTTAAGTGTAGAGAACTATCAGTACCGCATACATGACGTAAGCCATTACAGCAATGAAGTATTCAGCATTTAGTATTATTCTATTGTGAAATACTTGGCTATCTAATATATTTAAAAGCAAGTGTAAAATATTTTAGGCTATGCATACATCATTATCGAATCTAAATGGCAAAGACTGAGAGCCACTGAAAAAGCCGCTGTACTGGAAAAGGGAAAGTCTGCAAGTTCATGCCTTTGAATATTTACTTTTAATAAAATGAATTAAATTATATCATTTGAATCATCATCTTAATGAGACGATTCGAATGATATTGAAATTAAGTATTGGCTTACAGGTTTTCCCTTGACGTCACTCATAAGGAACGATAAATGCTGTCGTATTTGTGAAATTTCAAAGAAAAGATATGACTAAATAGAATAGCGACGAGATAGAGATATTCCTAAGGGCTTCGTTTGAAAGTTTCTTATGTTCAAAATGTGCTTACCAGATTCAATTCAATCCATATAAGGAGATTAATATTTTTTAAATTAAAATTAAAATAATAAAGGTAAAGATAGGCTTTACATTTGTCAACAGTTACGTAGAATTGACGGGATGAATTTTTTTTTTTTGAGATTTGTGAACCTAAATCAGATGAAATATTAAACAACCTCTAAGAAGTTCTGATAATATTGTATTTCGACAGTCTAAATCTATTTAATCTGATAATGATATTTAACAAACTTATTTCTCAATTCATTAGATATTTGAAGAATACAAAATTTGCCTTTGAAAGGTATAAATAATTTATTTTTTTTTCCCTTAATTATCGTGATGATTATAACGCTAATATTATAATCTGTCAATCCACTGAATTTTTGAGTTGATTATAAAATTGTCCAAATGATCGATATCAAGAGATCAAATTGTTATTTTAAATTTAAGTTCTAATCATTTTTTTTTTTTATATTTATTTTAATGCACAATATGGTTTAGATTATTTGTGGATTGCTCTACGTATTAGAATCTTAATTTCGATTAACTTCAAAGGAAGAAGTTCGTCTGATTGGCTGATGTAAATCAATTGCCTGGGTAACTTATTTATATGTTATACAGTACTTTTTTAGAACTGAACGTTTCACTAATAAAAAATCACTCCAAATATCATTAATAACTTCAGCGAAGTACTAACGTTCACTGTGCAAAACATCAGACTCCCGGTGAACTTTGCTTAGAAGACAAAATATACTTTCGCCTATTGGACTGCACAAAGCTATACTGTAGAGTAAGGTAATCGGAAATATTTTTTTGCTTAAGCCGTTTATTATGTTAGCAGAGGTCTTTTTCGATTTTTAACAGCTGCCCTACTTTGTTTGGTGCGTCGAAAGTGCGTCGAGGGTGCGTCGAGGGTACATCAAGTATAACCCGGGTTTGCATAAGGAGAGCATCTTCCTTCATATCGAATACAAAGTAAATTTCCAATTATATTATATAATTGGAAACTTTACTTTGTATTTGATACGCAGGAAGATGCTCTCCTTATGCAAACCCGGGTTATACTTGACGTACCCTCGTCGCACTTTCGACGCACCAAACAAAGTAGGGCAACTATTAAAAATCGAAAAAGACCTCTGCTTAGTTAGATTCAAATAAACTTTTACTACTAACTGTTTAGTTTGAATAAGTGCAAGCTTTAATGTTTAGATATGGTTGCTTTTGCAATGTGTTGGGTTTGTTTAACTGTAAATTTAGTTTATGTATTGGTATTGTGTAAATTTTCTGAGAAGCTTGAGTTTATTAATAATAAATATTGTATTTATCTACTTTATGCATATCTTTCTATTCTCTAAATATATGTGTTAAATATTTTGTATATATTTATTATTTTGTATATGGAGTTGTTTTTCATTTTCTAGCAATGGATTTTTGTAAACAAGAAAAAGGTAGACAAAAGAAACCTCTTCATTCTATATAAGTAGGAAGAGCCTTTGAATGAATTGGTATAGACTTAGTAGAACCTCTCCCTATTACTACCCAAGACAACTATTATATTATTGTTGCTACCAACTATCTCACCTGCTAGCCAGAAGCTAAAGCCATACTAGATGCTAATGCAGAAACATTTGCTAGATTTATCTTTGAAGAAATTGTATGCTGTCATGGAGTATCTAAAATAATTCTTTTGGATAATATAAAGAATTTTATTAGTGAAGTTATTAGAATCTTGTGTGAAAAGTTCTTGATTAAATATATATTTTCTTTTTCTTATTGTCTTTAAACTAATGGAATAGTTAAACAATTAAATTGAACACTTTGCAACTCTTTTGCAAAAGTGAAGGAAACTGAAGAAGATTAGAATATACATATACTTGCTGTATTATTTGTATACAAAACCAAATAACATACAACTACAGGATATACTCCTTTTCAATTGGTACATGGATGTCAAGTTATTTTACCTATCGAAACTATTCTTCCAATAGAACCAGATGTATCAGATGAAGAAATAATATTAAAAAATAATATATTACAAAGAGCCTTCAAACTAATAGATGAATTATCTTATTAACATAAAGAAGCTCGAAGGAATCTGAAAAATCCCAAAAGAAACAGAAAGTCTGATTTGATTTTAAAATATAATCAAAAGAATATGAAATAGGTGATAAAGTATGAGTATATCAGAAAGATATTAAAGTCTCTTGAGGATAAACAAATAGAACCCTTTATTATTAAAAACAAATTAAATAATGGTGCTTATAAACTTTGTATACTATAAGGCCAAACACTAAAGAAGTATTACAATAGTGACCAACTTGCCAAATACTATGAAAAACCAAATTGGCAACCCACTATTATTATAGAAAATTAAAATTTTTGGAGAAAATTCTTAAAAGAAATGGAAAAACACAGAAAATTTTCAATTTATATTGTTATATTAGCATATTTTTTACTTTTATTTTTATTTTTATTTTTATTTTGAAAATTACTACAGATTACCACTGGTGATCATCACCAGTATCACATGTATAATGTAGTATACTATGTATCGTGCGTCATAACAATTTATTACTAATTAGCTTCGATTAATAGCTTCTTTAATGTTTTATTATTTTGCATTCGAATTCAAATTGTACAAACCTTTAACTCTAACTTAATTTTGTTTAACTATACTCTCTTTTACTTCTTTAGCTTTAACAGTACTATTGCTTTATATAACAACGTGTCATGTCTACAATTCAGCAATTTACAGTCGAATTTAAGCTCACCTTTATTATGCTTCTAATGTATGTACTTGTCTGCTTCTTTTTGTTTTGGTTATATTTTCTCTTACTTGTTTGCTTTAACAGTAGCTATTGCTTTATATAGCAACACATCACGTACCATAATGCTACAATTCAGCAATTCACAGATGTTATACGAATTCCTCACCTTTATTATACTTCTATCGTATATCTTCTTTATCTTACTTATAACTGTTATCTTTTTTGTGTATTCGTTTTTTTATAAAGCCACACTAACTAAAGACTTTGTTCTCTCTTCACTTACAGTAGTTACAAAGTTAATGGATCAACTATTTGACTACGAAGTTAATGTGAATGACCACTTACCAGACTATAACGAAGGTGATATAGATGGAAACAATACTGATGATTATAATGTTAATGTTAATGAAATAGTGTTGAAAGTTGGAGACTCATTTAATGATTGGGATGAAGTTCAGGCTGCAGTTGATTTATTTGCAAAGCAGAATGGTTTTGTAGCTAATAAAAGCCATAAAGATCTTGATCCAGTTGACAAGTCTATTATTCGTCGACAAACCTATAATTGCTAGAAGGCTGGAGTTCATCAACCGAAAAAGGTCGAAGATATTGATTTGCACTGCGATAATAGTTCAACTAAAACAAATTGTAAATGGGAAGTTGGTTTTTACTTTGGAAAGTACGCAAAAAGTATAAATCTTACTAAACTTCAGAATGAGCATAATCATAATTGTGATCTGGCAACTATAGAATTAGTACCAAAAAACTTACGTCTTCCACAGGATATCTTGGATAAAATTAAACATTACACTACAGATAGTCGTTTGGGTGCTAGTCAGCAGTATGATCTCCTTACTAAAGAGTTTCCTCAATATTATCTTAAAAAAAAGAACTTATATAATGCAATTCATAAGTTTCGAGGTGTACGAATATATGATGAATCTGACACAAGCACAATGCTTTCATATCTCTTAAGCTAACATGATAAAGATCTGGATTATTTAGTCATACCACGTCTTGAGAGGCCATCTAATGAATTAACTGGTCTTTTTTGGATGAATAGTCAATAGCACAATAATTTATAAATAAGGTTTCATGATGTTGTGATTTACGATAATACAGCAAAAACTAACCGGTATGAGATAGCACTTAGTTTATTCGTTGGTGTTGATAACAACTTTAAAACAAGAATTATTGCTCAAGCACTAATAAAGTATGAGACTCAGAATAATTATGACTGGATTTTACGATGTATATTAAAAGGATCTAATAACTTTCAGCCTAAAGTGTTATTTACCGATGGTGACCCGGCAATGATTGCTGCAGTTCATGTTTTATATCTACAGACACGTCACATGTTATGTATCTATCACCTTCTTGAAAACGTTAAAAAAAAAGCAAAGGCCAAGCTTCGGGGGTGATATGATAAAATACTTTGTTTCAGATTTTTGTAACATACGAAATAGTTGCAGTCAAGATGAATTTGAAGTAAAGTATCATAATATGTTGACAAAGTATAAATTGTGTTGTTCATATCTTGAAAGGCTCTATAATAGTCGTACTTCATGGGCAAGATATTCTGTGACAAAGGTTTTTACAGCAGGAATAGAATCCATGCAACGTGTTGAATCTATTATTGGTGTTATTAAAAAACATATTGACTGTGGCACCTTGCTAAAAGAATTGGTTACTGTTATTGAACAAGAATTGGAGAAGAAGGCTCAGTATATCAGAATTAAAGAATATTATAGATCCAATCCATCTGTTGGTCTTATGTCAACTTATAACACCATATTTAAAGAAATCAATTCTATTTTAAAAGATAATTTGGTGCCTATTCCATTGTCTTTACAAAGAGCTCAAATGAAGCAGGCTTTATTGTATCAAGTAACCTTAGTTTCGGTTGATCAAGTTAAGGAGTGGGATGTTAATTATAACGACATAATTAAACAATTATATGATGCTCCTCAAATTCGTTTAGCTGAACTCATGTCTGATATACCTTTTAATGCAATTAAAGAGCTTTGGAAGGTATCATATATAGATTCCACTTTAAAGCCACACTATGTTGTTATACTTAACGACTCAACATTACTTTGTACCTGCATGAATATTATAAGTCAAGAAATGTTATGTCGGCATCAGTATTGGGTGCTTATTCAGTCAAATTATGCAAAATTTCACATATCACTCTTACATACCTGTTGGTTTGAATCATTTTCACCTGATACAATGAATTTTGTTACAATATTTCGAGGGGTAAAAAGCACCACGTCAACACCATTATATTATATGAACCAAGTAAAAACTTGTGATATTTATATACCGGCTATTAGGAGTCATGTTAATAAGAAGGTTCAATTCGGTACTACGATGTCTGTGGCTAAAACTAGTGCTCAAATTGCGGTATCTGAAGGTGTTACTGAAGAATTAACTGGAATTTTAATGTAATACAGAACTAGGCGTAAAAAATACTTCATCATTGCCAAGTATTATGCTACAAGAGTCTTTTACAGCTACTGAAGTTACTAAATCTACATCTTCTATTACTGAGGTTATAGATTTTACATCCACTGCCACTAAAGTTACAGAATCTACATCCAATCTTGTACCAACGATTAATCAAGTAACACAACAATCTTTGGGTAATCTTACTGTGTCTAATCCGGAATACCATAAGCCAAGAGGGTGATCTTCCAAATGACTTAAATTAGCTATTGAGGATTATACAATATCCATAAATAAGCTAGACAATACTAATACTGTTTTGAAAACGTGTGGTTATTGCTCTGGTAAAGGACATAATATTCGTAGTTGTCAAAAATATAAATCTGATATAGGTAACAAAGAGAATTGTTAGCTGTAAGGTCATGGTTAGAATTAGATGTTTGTAGTTAGTCATATTTAGAGATTTTGGATTGGGATTTAACATTTATTATTAAATGTTTTATTGATGATTGTTATTGATTGTGCAATGAGTCTAACGAACTGGTAAGGCTAAGGTTGGGATCAGATATTTATAATTATTATCGTATACTGGTGGTTATTTTTAGAGGTTTTGAATTAGAACTTGATGCTTATTATTGAATGCTTTGCTATTATTATTGATAATTGTTATTGATTGTATAATGAGTCTAACAAAAGTTCTTCTTTATTCATTGAATTAGAATCAGTCAGGTGGCTTTCGAAGTTCGGGTTATATGGTATATGCCATTGTTAGTAATACTACTATAACAGTGTATATTATATCACATAACCTGAACTTCAGGAGCTACTCTAACTGATTTTTAATCATATTGGTTTGTTTGTCAAATTGTTTAATTTTAGCTTTATTTAACGACAAAGGTTTGTACTTATTTGACAGACAAACCATTTATAATTTATCATGCGCCATTTGATAATTCTATAGCATTTGTAGCCATTTACTAATATTTATACTCAAGATGATTGTTTTTGGCCTTTAGAAAAACGTAGCAAAGCTGATTTACTTCTGTAAAAATTGTATTACATCTAATATGTTGGGTTGGAATTAATTACTTCATTAATTACTATGGAAGTTAGCAGGGTTGGAATTAATTATATATAGTAGCTACTATATAACATACTTTGATATTACTTTGAAATTGATAATAAAGCTACTTGTCTCTTCTGTTTAGAATTAGGTGTGACAAATTATTTCACGTGACAAATAATCATTACTTAATATATGTACTAGTTGATATTTATATGTCACGCCCAATGATTTATCATGTTAATAAACATAATAATACTTGTATGTCAATCATGTGATTTATATGTTTTGTGATACCGGTGATAATCACTACTAGTGGTAAATAGCAAAATTCTTTTATTTTTATTTTTATTTTTTTTTTATTATATTTTATTTATTTAATTATTTATTTTCTTGCCAAGTTCTTTTTTTTTTTTTCTTATTTTTTTTTATTTTTTATTTTTTATTTTTTTTTTGAAAACTTAATTTTTTTTCTTTATATAAACCTTTTCTCAACAAACCTTTGATTTTTCTTAAAAATATTTTGGATATATTCCTACTAATAAGCAATACTTTGATCTTTGTCAAGAAATTGAATTAGCTGCTTCTGCATTTCAATTCAATACTCTTCTAGCTTTTGAACAAACCTCTCTTCTCTTTGAATATTCTCAATTTTGTGGATTTTTTTGGGCTAATAGAAAAAATCCTCAAACAAAAAGATCTTGAGACCAAGAAGGAATAGTTGACCAAGATTTCAATACAACTTATACACCAGTATATTATTTGAAAGTACCTAATTCTGACAACCCAACTAGTACCATTTATTAATTACCTAATTGTCAATCTTGACAACTAAAGGTTTATTTTTATACTGCTGCTAAATTCTTCAACTTAAATCACTACAAACAAGAAATACAACAGAGTATAGTTTCTAAGAACAGTGTAAAAGAGCTTTTTAAATTCTGTCAACAAAAAGGATTCACCACCTATCCTGACTAAATATTGTATGAATATTACAATATATCGGCAACAAATCCACAATTATGATTTTGTTTACCAAACAAGTAGATATTTTTCTCAAACCAAGCTTAGAAAAAAACCAGATCTTAGTTGTCTACTCTGCTACCCATTAGAAAATAAACCAATACCTAATTATTTTATATGATTTTGGTTTTAGTTCTCTCGAAATTACAATGCAAAAGCTTATAACAGCAATACTACTATCTTTTTTCATAGAGTATATCTTAAAAAAAGGATAGAAAATATTAAATTTAAACAAGTTTTAGAAAGTCTAATAATATTCATTCGATATATAATCATAATCTATCAAAAGAATTTAATTTAGTTGTTTAAGATTTAACAATTACTTGAAAATATACTTATAATTTTCAAAACTACACCCCATCTACAACCAGCTTATATACTCCTACTATGTCTCAATGAGGTAAAGAACAGGCAGCTCAACCAAATACTAATAATGAAAATAAAAATGATAGAGAAAGAGAATCTAGAACTAGCTTTAGACTAATAATTAGAAAGGCTTCTGAAAATCAAATTGAAAATGGCCTTAAAACTTCTCAAGAACAAAATAATAAAGCTGAAATTGAACCAGAAGTTAATCCAACTTTAGAAGAATTATTATAAAGCTTTTGCAAGTATTAACCACAGTGTTGGAAAAGAAAAATAAAATAAAAAAAATAAAAATAGTTGATTATCCAATATTTAAAGAAGAAAATAAAGACCCTATTGCTTGGCTAGATACTTTTAAATTTGCAGCTATAGCTAACAAAGTGTCTGACTGTAGAATTTTAAAAATTGTTTCAAATTATTTAAAAGAAGTTGTCCTTACTTGGTATCATAAAACTAAGTACCAGATTGAATATTGGCATGATTTAACTAATAGAAATACAAAAAGAAAATCATTTTGACTTTTATTTGAAGCACAATTTAGAAGTCCACATAAAGTAAATCAATGGTTTTATGAATTGAGAAATAGAAAACAAAAATCAGGTGAAATAGTAAAAGTATACTTTTTTGTCTTAGAAGAACTTTGGAAAAAAGTAGACCCTCAAAAAAGCTATTCTGACTCTGACAAACACTAACAATTTATTGATGACTTTAGAACTGAATTTCATATTCTACTTGAATCTGCTATACCTAAAAGCTTATATGATATATACAATAAAGCTAAAGCTATTGAAGTAGCTTACTCAAAGGGAAATGATTTATCTGCCTATTTCATGTTGCCAGTATCTTTGCAACCTCAATACTATGGTACTGCTTTAAACCAAACTAATATTAAAACTATTGTTGCTGCTCAAACTAAGGAAATATTATCTGAAGCTATACAACAATTAAAATCTTTAACTTTAACTCAATTCTCTTAACAACAACCTCAAAATAACCAAAAATCTTCTCAAAGCTACAATAATAACAATAATCAAAATAGAAGAAACAATAATAATACTAACAATAACAATAATAGCAATAATAATTGTCAAAGATACCAAAAACCTGAACACTTTGTATATCAATGTAAAGCACCTACTTGTGGAAATTGTAATCAAATTGGGTATTTGACAAGAAATTGTAGAATAAATAACAATTGGTAAAGTAATAATAACTATAATAATAATAATTATTATTATCCTTTAAATAATAATAACAACTATAATAATTATCAACTACCTCTAATAAAGAATTATAACAATCGACCACCTCAAAATAATAATTTTCAACCACTAATAAACACTAACAATAATAATTATTATCCTTCAAATAATAATAACAACTATAATAATTATAATAATCAACAATCTCAAAATAATAATTTGTAACCACCAATAAATAATAATAATAATAATAATCAGCTATGTAACAATAACTGACCTTCTAATAATCAAAACCAAAACAGGCCTCCAAACAATAACAATAATAATCAAAGACAAAACTTTTTGAATTATGATAAAAATCATTATTATATTACAACTCAAAATAATATGAAAAATAATAACAATTTTTTAAACTAGAAAAGACATCTCTTGAGGTTGAGCATGTCGAAAATAAAAACCTCTTTGATAATTTGAATGACCTTATTTCAAATTATTTAAACATTCTAGATACTTATACAAACAATAAAAATATTAATTATAATAATACTACTTTTGACAAAATAAATAATAGTTTAGAAGATATTTATAAAATATAGATAAAGATAAAGATGAAGATAATGTTATTGAAATAAAATGATTTTAAATAAATAAAGAAGAGGAGTCCCAAAAGAAAGAGAAAGTAAAAAATGCTCTCTTTACTATAGCTATAGTTTATGAAGAAAATATAAATACTTTTGTTAACACAGGGTTCAAAGAATATGTTATATCTAAACAATTTCTAGATAGAGTTAATAAGCCAATTGATAGACTAGAAAATGTTCGAATGATTGATATAACAGGAAATAAAACTCTGCCTTTTGAAACCGTTTTTAATATACCAGTAAAAATAAAAAATCTTGAAATACAAGTAGATATGCTAGTAACTGAATCCAAGGAATATAATGTAGTTTTGGGAAATAAATACTTAGATTAAGCTAAAGCAAATATTGACTTTAAACATGGTTTAATTACAGTTAGAAGTGAAAATGATCTAGAACATATTCCTATTACATGTTAAAAAAGAATAGAAGACCCTAACAAACTTTGTAAAATCTCTTATTGCCAAACAAAAGATGATGAATTGAAATTGGAATTAGAAGAGAATAAAGACTTAGATAATAGCAAATAGTTTTCAACTCAAGTTCAAGCTAATCAATACTTCACCAAGATTAATAATCAACTTATGCCAAATATAAGGATTGAAAACAGTGAAAACTCTAGAAACAATATAAATGAAATCTTCAAAATAATTAAACCTGAAATAGAAGATATGGCTCTTGAACAAAGAATTGCAAAACAAAGACTTAAAGAAATTGCTATTACTGAAAACAAGTTAATATTTATAAAAAATAGTTTGAACAATAAACAAGAGACAAAAATTAAAAATTTTCTTCAAAAAAATTCCAATATTTTGCAACTCAATCTGCAGAACTTAAACAAACTAATATAGTATGCTATAATATTTATACTGAAAACAATACAAGCATATCGAGCATCCTCTACTAAACAAGAATGCATTAAAAAGGGAATAGAAAAAATGTAAAAAAATGGAATTATTCGCAAATCTGAAAGCTCTTGGAGTTCTCCAGTAGTTTTAATGCAAAAGAAAAATGGAAACCTTTAATTTTGTGTTGATTATAAGAAGTTAAACTCTATAACAAAAAAGAATACATATCCTTTACCATGTATTGATGAAATGTTGAACAATTTGGGAAAGACTAACTGGTTTACTTCTTTTGATTTAACATCTGGATATTGGCAAGTAGAAGTAAAAGAAAAGAATAAAGAAAAAACTGCTTTTATTACAAAATATAGTTTTTATAAGTTTAATATTATGCCTTTTGGACTTTGTAATACTCCTTCAACTTTTTAAAAATTAATAGATGTAGTTCTTGCACTTGTTTTTTAGAAATGTACTATGGTATATATTGATAATATCAACATATATTCTGATACATTTGAGCAACATCTAGAACATTTAAATAAAGTTTTTAAATTAATTAAAAAAGCTAATTTACAGATAAATCTAAAAAAATATTATTTTTGTATAACTAAAATACAATTTTTAGAACATATTGTAGGAATTAAAGAAATAAAACCTGATCCACAGAAAGTTGAAAAACTAGAAAAACTTTCATCACCTACAAATCTAACTCAACTTAGGGTATTTATAAGACTGGCCTCCTATTATAGAAGGTTTATTGAAAGATTTGCCAAAAAGACTTCACCTTTATATAAATTATTAAAAAAGAACATAAAATTTATTTGGACTAATGAGCATGAGGAAATATTTAACTAGCTTAAACAAAGACTAATTACACCTTCTATACTTCAATATTCTGACTATAATATACTATTTATTCTTTTTACAGATACTTCTTATCAAGATATTGGAGCTGTATTTGCTCAAATTAAAGATAATAAGGAACATATTATTGCTTATACAAGCAGAACATTATCTCCAACTAAAAAAAATTATAGTACTATTGAACCGAAATACTTAGCAATTATTTAAGCAGTAAAATACTTTTGATATTATATTTATAGAACAAGATTTTATTTAGTAACTAACTATAAAGCTTTACAATGGCTTTTAAACTCTACTACAATCAATGATAACAAACAAATTACAAAATGGTGACTCACCTTACAAGAATATTAATATGATATTAAATATTATGCTAGTAGCCAGAACCAAAATACTGATTTCTTTTCTCGATTACCAGAAATTTATAAAGATAATGATGACAAAGATTATAATCAAATATTAAATTATCTTACTTATCTTATATATTCTATAGATGCCTCTAATATAAAAAAAACTTAGCTACAAAAAGAAGCCAAAAAATATTTTGTTAAAAATAGTATTTTATATCATTGAAACAATAAAAAGCCACAAAGAGTAATTAAATTATTTAAAAAGCAACTATTTTATACTCTTTACATGATAAACAGAGAGTATATTTAAGTATAGAAGCTATATATAACAAAGTAAAAAAAAGATTCTACTGACCTAATATATATAAAGATATAAAAATTATATTCAAACATGTGATATTTGCTAAAGAAGAGATCATGAAGTTAAATATCAAACTCTCCAACTACTAGAAGTAAAATATTCATTTTATAGAGTTAAAATTGATATAAAAGGACCATTACTAGTAACAAAACAAGATAATAGATACATAATTGTTGCTATGGATTATCTTACTAAATAGCCTGAAGCAAGAGCTATAACTAATATAAAAGCTACAACAGTTGCTAAATTTATTTATGAAGATATTATTTGTCGCTATGGAGTATCTACAATATTACTTTCTAATTATGGAAAAAACCTTTTAAATAATATTGTTGAAGAACTATACAAAAACTTTCAAATAAAACATTACAAATAGAATGATTGTACGATTTAATAAAACTATTGGTGAAGCTTTAGCAAAAGTTACAAGCTATAAATATAAAGAGTGAGATGAAATTCTTCCCTCTATTTTACTTGCTTATCACAATGAAGCATAGTACAACAAAGTTTATACCATTTTCTCTTGTATATAGACGTGAAGCAAAATTATTAATAGAAACAATAATAGAAACTTATTATGAGAAAAATGAATTATTCCAAAAAGCTCTCTTAAAAAGATTTTTTAAAATAGAGGATGTCTTAATAAAACAACAAGAGAAAGCTCTAGAAAATATTCAAGAAGTACAAAAAATACAAAAGGAATATCATAACAAAAAAATTAAACATAATAAATTAAAAATTGGTGACAAAGTATTAGTTGCTAAATCTTTTCTTAAAAATATTTTCTCGGCTAAATTAGAAGAACAATTTATGGGCCCTTATATAATTTATAATATATTAGAATTTGGTGTTTATAAACTAAAAACTTTTGATAGCAAAAAAGTTAAAGATCCAGTTTATAGTAATCATTTAAAGCTTTATTATAACAGAGAAATTAAAGATTTACCAGTTTCTCAAGTTATTATAGCACAAGGCAATAATATATAAAAATAGAATATATAACTTTTACTTATTATTTATTTATTTAATTTTATTATTTAAAACATTTTTTTTTTATAACTTTTACTTATTACTTTAATTTTTTTTTTGTATACTTTATTTTATTAATTAAAACATTTTATTCAATATAAAAAAAAAAAAAAAATTTATTTAACAAATTTATTAAACATTGCAAAAATTAATTACAGAAAAAATAATTTTTAGAGAAAATTCAAAAAGGAGACGAAAAACTTGTAATAATACAAAAAGAGAAGAAAAGTAAAATTTTTATTTTTATTTATGAAAGAAAAATTTTAAGAAAATAGAAAAAGACAATATAAAAAATTGTAATAGATTATTATGATATGTTTTTAAAGAGATATTTATACTCTATACTTATGAAATTTTTTGTTTATTTAAATTATAGTGTTATATATCTAAAAATTTTATGCTATTTCTATTTGTTTAAATTATAGTATTTTATATCATATAGTTATATTGTACTTAGTTATATATCTAATATTTATTATCTAAATTCAAGGTTATATATAACTATTTTATTTTATATTATATTTAACTATTTCTAGTTTAGTGCAACAATATCATGCTACTACTTATTTTAATTATTAGTTAATTTTTTAATTGATATAATACTTTATATTAAAATTTTTTTTTAAAAAACCTAGTTTTATATATAAAAGTAGCTGCTAGTTGAAGCTAAATATTTTTAAAATTTAGTAAAATAAAGCTTAAAAGTTTACTTTATCTTCTTAAATTTAGCTAATAATAAATCATTATTTTTAAGTATATAAAGTACTTAAAAATTCTAAGTACTTCATATATTTTTTATATTTTAACTTAGAATATAAAAAAAATTTTATTAAATTATAAATATTATTAAAAAATTAATATTCATTCTAATATATTATAATGAATATCAAAAAAATTTTAAGAACATTAATAGTTTGAATTAAGCTCTTTTGAAAATATAAATTTAAGTTTGAATTTTAAACACTGTTTACAATGCGACTTTGTAATCTGTGCTCGGTTTGTAGTCACGTGATGACGATCATGCAATGTTCACTGAATAATGCAAGTTT